GGGAAACAGAACTGGATAGGAAGGACGCAGCAGCAACCTGCCAACTCGAAGTAACCACAGGTGAGAGGGAACGGCTAGAGGAGCAGATGCAACCAGCAACAAAAGGGCTCTTCAGAGGACTGCCGGAGAAGGACGGTTAGAATTATGTACTATCTGTGGTACGCTGACTGATGAACAATGAATTTGAAAAATTATTTGGATGGATGCGGTCGTGGCATAACCGAGTTTGTATCCCAGCATTTCATGGAGGAACTGAGAAGCACCACGGAAGACTTCAGTCAACATCTACGGATACGTGTGTAGAAGACTGCACAGCCCTCTTGGTGATTACATGTTGTAGTTGAAACTTTGAGATAATAAAGAGGAGTGAACAGATGTTACGAAGTGATATCTGGAAATCCATGACCCTTAAATTCATTTTTCACCCTATAAATCATTAGATATTGCCTTCCGTATCATGAAATGCATTGTCATATTTAGAACAATTCAGGTCCAAATTTTCCGAACCGAAAAATGCAGTAAGTTGCGTTGACAGAAACGTCGCTCATTGCACAACATTGCAGAGCTACAACACAGAAATGATTAAAGTTTCTCAGCAAGTACTCCCCCTACCCCTTCCACCGAATTTATCCTGCAGCCTCAGTCACGGGAATAATTTCCTGAGATCTCTAAGTGCAACTTTTCCTAACAGCAATAAAAAACAACCATTCTCTATCCTGGGTTGCAACATGCGATTTCATAATTCGCTTAGATTACGAACCTTGTTTTTAACTCAGTTCATATGCCTGTTATCTTTCGGTGTGCTTTGTTTTGCGGTTTTCTTGTACGAAATGCGCTGCTGCGTCAAAACAATGCTGCATGTAATGTTGCGCTGTGAAGTAAACTCTACACGCATGTGGTGCTGCCCTCTAGACAGCAGTAACAGCAACTATTTCGGGTAGCTCGACAGCGCCGACACCGGAACTACGTCGCGAACTAGCGCAGGTAGGAGTCGTGTTATTGGTTCGTGCGGACGAGGCGATTAAAATGGGGATGAGTTGAATCATGTTGCGGAGCAGCACAGTGTCTGTTCAAGTTGTGACTCCCGCCGGGAGCGCCGGAGTATGCGAAACGACCGATGGCGAGCTGATGTTTACGTGTTTGTGTGACATGTGAGAAAGTGGTATTTGTCACCGCCACGAATATGGGCAGGCATACGTGCTTAAAACGGTGATCTATACAAGTTTTAATTACTACAAATTAAGTTATTTTTTTTAAAAGAAGCAAGGTCTTTTCAGATTAAATTAAAATCTTGTATTACATAAAAATGCAGCAAGAGAACCAAGTGAATAGTGCTTCGAGTCCCAACGCCTCGCCTGCGTCGACCGGGGCCACGGGCACCGCAACCACCACCAAGACCATGGTGAACGGTGGGCGCTTTGACTTCGACGACGGTGGCACCTACTGCGGCGGGTGGGAGGACGGCAAAGCGCACGGCCATGGCGTGTGTACGGGGCCCAAAGGACAAGGAGCCTACTCGGGCTCGTGGCATTACGGATTCGAGGTGTCCGGCATCTACACCTGGCCCAGGTACGGGCTTCTTCTCTCTTATTGTTTCCCCACTGCAGGACCCAATTTTAACCCATTTAAACCTCGGTGCTTGCTCATTCGTTAGACACAGCTACAGTCCCTTTCGAGAGCACAGTGCAATCCAGAACGGAGCATTGATAAACGTGTTTGATGTTGTTCATGGTTTCCTTTAACCTAGTGACGGAAACCCGGAGGATTACCTAGAATTGCATCCCTTTATTCATCCAGCACATTAACATAATGTGTATGAAATATACCCGTTTCCATTATCATAAATATAACAGGCTCGTATGGCTGCCTTTATATGGTTCTGCTCACGTCCATCAGGAGACTGCAAAAATGATCTTGAAATTAGCAATGGCTGCTAGTTTTATCCAAACCTTTTCTACTTTACCACGCGTAAATATGCTAACGTTTCCTTTAATTCTAGAACAATCTTCCTAATAGAACGTATGATATCCTTCGTCATATTGTCCATATATTGTCCTGTCTCGTTGATCATTAACAAACTATTTCGTTTGAATGGTCTGTTTATGGACCTTGCTTTGACCCAACGTGTGGTAACGAAAACCTATTTTTATACTGCTGATCGCAGTTTTACAAATGTACATCCTTGTCTACTGCCGTGTTAACTTGTGAGTGGAACTCCCCTCTGGCTCCGTGATGGTGGGACGGTCCGTGCGTTCCACATCCTTTAAATTTACAATCCAAGCACTGCTCCGAGGGGCTGAATTTAGACCAGCCGTCTCTTGTCTGACGGGGACATTTGTATTGTTACTTGCTGTTTATATTATTGTTGTGACGTGCCCTGTGGTATAAGGAGTCGAATGCACAGAATAACGCATTCAAGCGATGGAGCCGTTTTATAAACGAGGCTATGAATACCATGTCATGCCGATGAATTATTGCATATAGCGTGGAGGCAATGAAAGAACAAGAGTTCAGGTAAAATTGGTATTCGGTTTAGAAGTCACAGTTGTGTTCGTTTACAAATTAAATGGGCACAACTGCAATAACAACAATAACAACAACAACAACAACAACTTCTGAAACGAATACCACATTTACGGTAGGCAGACCTGAATAACAAGAAGTAAAGTAGCTATTATATCTACGAGTATTGCACACACATAGACCTGATACTTATGCCCCCCCCGCGTAACTGACATCGCTTTTGAAATACTACTTTCGGTGTACAATTTACAGTTAGCTTTGTGGCATTTCACATTGTAATGGTAATTGTGTTTACCACCCCATTGTTGCAGCTGCGTCATTTAGGCCATGATCCAAATGAAACACGTTTTATGGGTTCTTTGGAACGAAGTCCCTCTAGTCATGTTTGCCGTCGCGAAACATTTTAGTGCGAATTTAATTTTTGTTTTGTATCAGTCCAACATAACCTCTTTAGGCGATGCTTGACTAAAGAAATTCTACCTATAAGATCCATAATTCCAGATTAATTCTGGTAGAGGGAACAGACCAGAGGGCCTAATACGGAAATTAGAAGAAGTGTCTGACTGGAACTCAGTATGTTACTTCGGCTTTGGGGAATACACACCGTCAGCATTCAGCTCAGAGTGTTCCGGAAAGCCGAAATCGCATGTAGACAACTAACCGGTTCATTTCAAAGGAGAATGTGGACACGTTACATAACATATAGACCTCATTAAGATTTAGTGCTCTTGTCTGAAACATTTTTTCCGTGTTGTGCGTGTATACGTACTTAATGAAATACTCTACATTGGAACATTATTTATGCTTATAAGCAGTATCATATGAGTGAAATTGATTCATAAACATTTTAAGGATAAAATTTAATTTGCTATAAATTAACATCAGAGTTAATTAGGTATAGAACGCATGCGGCAAACAAGTGCCCTCAAAGTAAAATTCTTGTCCTGCTTTACTTCTGGCATATACACTTACGAAATCAATGTGGGTGCTGATTTGCTAACTGGACGATAATATCCGGTTGCATTGCTATTTCGAATCTGATTATACGGTCCTTCAAAAATACACATTACTCGTAATTTGGTGTGGGCATTATCGGGAATTGACGCCAACGTTCTTAACACGAAAACATGAATTTGTTACTCATTCGTTTGTTCGTTGAATTCCCGTCAGCCAAAAATAATACTACGTTTATTCAACTCTAAAATCAACAATTGGCCTACATCAACACTTTGAAGAACGACATAGGGGGCTGTATGCATTTCTCACAGAACTGAATACTTCACTGTGAAGCTGAAGAGCGCGATAGATGTGCCTGTACGGTGTTTTATTCCCCCAGCTTCAAAATCGTACGGACTTCCACAGAAGTCACCTAGTAGGAGTGCTGTTGCGTTTGTGTGTGTTCACCTGTTGACGGCTGAGGCCGAGCAATGGCCATGTTTCTGGGTCACATATCCAACTAAACACATGAACGATGAGTTAAGTAGGTCTTGACTTGCTTTGGGTCACATTTAGAGGAGCAACAAATATTAAATCTTTAAAGACTGACATTCTTCTATTTTTTTTTTATTTCTCCAATTTATTATACAATCTATCCAGCTATATTCTTCTAAATAAAGTATAAAAGTTCGTATCTAACAGGAAACACATTACGTCTCCGCTACAGAGGCCACCCGGATAATGCTGTTAGACAGAAAACCGCCGTTCATTGTGAAACAATATGAAACACAGAAATACATTCTATGGGCAGAATTCAGAGTTTTAGTATGTTCAAGCTGATAGTACTTACAGAACCACGGGGCTTTGAAGGGTTAATGTACTTGCCAGTGTTTGATGATTTTCGTTGCTGTGTATTGCCAGCAATGATTACGGAAATCTGTTGCCACGACAGTTAATTTCCGCAGTGTTGTCGGCAGTATGAAGCAGCTTTGAGACTCACGGCAATCTGCATTTACACAGCAGCAGGCCGCCCAGCGTGACGAGTGCTAGGCATCCCCTCGAGACATTAAGTTGTGTGTCATGAAATTCCTGGTACTGTATCAGTTGCTGCGGTACGATCATACACAGAATTATTATAAGACGTAGAAGGAGAAGAAATGATTCAGTTGGGAGGAAAGTATTGTAAAATATTCTGATAGAGTTAGGGGTTGATTAATATACGTTTCGTTTAAACACCTTTTAAAGTCAGTATAGGTAAACATTTGTCTGATAATTTCCCTATCCAGAATGGGTTGAAACAAGGAAATGCTTTATCGCCACTGCTTTTCAACTTGGCTGTAGAATTGCCATTAGGAAGGTCCAGGGAAACCAGGTGAGACTGAAATTAAATGGGACATATCAGCTGTTGGTCTATGCTGATGATGTGAAACTACTGGGTGATAATATAGAGACCATAAAGAAAAACACAACAACTTTAATTGACGCTAGCAAGGAGGTTGGTCTAGAAGTAAAAACAGAGGAAATTAAGTCTCGTTACCAAAATACAGGGGAAAATTATGACATAAAGATAGATAACAGATGTTTTGAAAAGGTAGCACAGTTAATATTTGGAAACGATGATAACAAACCAAAACCTGATTCAGGAGGAAATTAAGAGGAGATTGAACTCGGGTAATGCTTGCTACCTTTCAGTCCAGAACCTTTTGTCTTCTCATCTGCTGTCCAAAAACATAAAAATTAGAATATACAAATCTGTAATTTTGCCTGTGGTTCTGTATGGGTGTGAAAAGTTTTCTCTGACATTAAGGGAGGAACATAGACTGAAGGGGTTTGAGAATAGGGTTTTTGGAAGAATATTTTGACCGAAGAGAAATGAAGTGACTGGAGGTTGGAGAAAACTGCATAATTAGGAGCTTCATAACTTGTACTCTTCTCCAAGTATAATTAAAATGATCAAATCATGGAGGATGAGATGGGCAGGGCATGTAGCACGAATGGGGAGAAGAGGAATGCATATAGGATACTGGTGGGAAAGCCAGCTGGAAACAGACCAGTGGGAAGACCAGGCGTAGGTGTGTGGATAATAACAAAATGGATCTGAAAGAGATGGGATGGTATGGATTAGATTGATCTGGCTAAGGATAGGGACCAGTGGAGGGCTCTTGTCAACACGGTAACGAACTTTCGGGTTCCATAAAATGCTGGGAAATTCTTGAGTAACTACACAATTGTCAGCTTCTCAAGAAGGACTCAGCTTTATGAATGAATGAGTGAGTGAGTGAGTGAGTGAGTGAGTGGGCGAGCGAGGAGACGAGGAACATGGGTTGGACCATGTTTTGAGCAGCGGCATCCGGATTTAACTTGTGAAATGATAAGCAAATTCTGTACCTCTTTCAGAAATTCATGAGAATCTCGATAAATTTGAATTTTAATAAAATTATAACCAAGGTTAAAATAGTTCATTTTGACATTAGAAAATAATTCCCACATATTGTGTTAATAGTTGCATCAAGATTTTTGGCTTCTGTAGCTTCTAACTGAAGACGGAGACAGAATCCAGCCTCCGAAACATTGTGTTTTGAAAAATAAACAAGAAGGTTTTTAGACAAAGACAAGACGATGGATAATGTCCAAAAACATAGTATTTGTACTCAGGTACCATTGTTACAAACTTTTAGATCTTATACTCATATAAAAGTAAGTAAAAAGTAAAGCTTGAAGTTTCTGAGTCTGTTTACCGCCTGATAGCGGACTTTCTCAACGAACTAAATAAAGAATTCAAAGACTACAAATAAACGATAAAAAATGTTATTATCTGAAAGAATTCGTGAAAAAAAAATTAAGTACACTCATTTACATTCATTACTTAAGTGATTACTCAATTGTGATATGAATGTTTACTGTTATTTCTGCAATCAGACTATGTTTCTGGGGCGTAAGGAGAAGATAGAAGGATTAAAATGACGTGATGAATTTGGAGGAGAAAAATTAATGATTTGATAAGTTTGTGTGCCTGACCAGTCATGTGATAGAGGGAGTGCTTGTGTTCATTGCCGTGTGCTCTCTGCGGTACAGCCCTTCTTAATATGAATTTCAAGTGAATTAATGCG